TTTTGTAGAAGAAATAAAGTTCCTTGTCGCTGTTCATTCGTTAAGAAACATTATAAACGTTGAAAATATTAATTTAGCTAATTTGGGCCCTTCTGTAATTTTTGCACGTTTTGTCTGGTTTTCCTGCACTGTTCTTGTAAGTAATAGGTTCTAAATTGTGGGTCTGATTTGAATAATTAGTTTATGGCTTTTATCGTAAACAAAAATTATTGTTAGATGAATCCTGAAAGCAACTACAAATATTTTTTGGGTATAATATAAAATTAGTCAATTTTTTTAATACTTTTACAAACGATTTTCAATTAACATACTTACAGTGTTACATAACAAGGTACAGGTTTTCGTAATGGCTAAACAGTCGGAAATCTCACCAAGGATAGACGTCACCCCATATAAAATAATGATCGCATCAGCGGTTGTAAACTCTTCAAAACCAATAAATTTGTTTAGTTATCAGGTTCGTTTCTTTACTTCATCCTTACCAGACTTTTGAAAAGACATCGTTCTGATATTGTGGTACAAGAAATAACTGAAGAACAGTAACGAAGCCGAACAGACTGCAAAAGAGTAGATAAAATAAAAGGACACCATCTCGTTCATCTCCCTAGATAACTGACTGAGCTTAAAGTGGAAGTGGCACAGTTGGTTCAATCTCCAAGGCGAATTCTTCCTGATAGACTTTGAAACTGGAAAATCGAAATTGCCAGGCGAAATCAATTTCAAACTGTCTCGAACTTACACTTTACAATGCTTAGAACATCCCAGGAACACTCCAAGTTAATCGCTCCTATAGCTTCATTAATTTTTTTGAATCTGAGGTGAATATGAAATATTGCAAACACTAGAAGATATTTGGAAGTAGATTTTAAGATATAGAACATAGCGACGCCTACACATATGCTCCATGACCTATGGAAAGCTGCGATGTAGAGAGCTATTTTTATTAAGAAACTCCAGATTTCCACAAAGAGAAGTCCAGAAAATACTCTTTGCAGTGGCTGGCTGTTGATTCTCAGACCTAAAAGCTTGAAGTTTTCAAATGTGTTTAAAGGTTTTTTTCGTGAAAAATTACCCCATGCTTCTAGGGTTGCATCCCAGGTGGCTAACTTATTAAACCAACTAGCAAAAGACGACTTGAGGAAATATCCCATGAACAATTGGCAATGCGCGTTCGCAATGCAGCAAACGTTAAATATGTACTTAATCACAAAGTACAAGCTTCCATTTGGAGTTGTTAAATCCGATTGTAAGAAACCGATCAAGGAAATTGCGAAGTAACTCGACAGATACGTGATGGTGTAGAGGATTCGGAATTTTCGGTTGCCCGTTTCTAGTTTACATCCTGATGGGTCAAAGGACAAATACAACATTCCTGAAATTGCCCGCAACGTTAATCTGTTGTTTGATTTACATAGAAGGCTTTGGTTACCTGCACATTTTGCTACAAAAAGCACATATTTCATAGTGGTTAATGTCTCCAGAAGGTGCTTTTTGATTTTGTTTTTTTTATCCTCTTTACTTTCTATTTCCAAGATGACCATAGCGAATTTCCACTGAAAAAGGATTTACAATACCTGAAGAGTTAGGTATAATACGATTGGAAAAAGACTGAAAGTTATTTGTTCTGGGTGATTTTATTGGAGCTACATTGGTGGAGAATCTGGCATTATAGAATAATAGACAATTGAGCCTAATCCACTTTAGTTACATTGAGTTTGCTTTGTTTATCATCATCATTGGTTTTATATGGGCATAATATTAACCAATCGAGCTACAAATAAATCATGAAGTACTTGGAAAATTAGTTTCTTTTTATTATTTGGCCAATCATAATAAATGTTTCATTCAACAAAGTGCAAATCAACTGAAGATATTTTCCAGCACCTCTAGTATCATTCGAAAATCTAACAGGAAAATCAGAGAAAATATGATATGACTAAGATCTTTAGTCTCAATGGAACTGATTGTTTAATCATTTTAAAGAAGCTGTTTTATTTTTCTCAGATCGGCCCTCAATAGGGCCTAAAAAGTGTAGAAGGTTTCAAAAACAAACTTTCTTCGATAATTTTGGCCGTAGTTCTCAAAACTCTGCTTTCTCGAGGTTTTTCAAATTTGAAAATCTGTTCTTAATAAAGCTCTGTCGGACGTAAAAAGTCCTACAGTAATTTAACAATCTAAACGAACTTCAAGCATCAGAACATTGTTTCAAAATATCCGCGTTTTCCAGATTTTTTAACTGAAAAAAGTGAGGGAGGTTTCAAAAATTGAACTTTTTTTGATAAATCCAGACGCATAATAGTTTTACTCATTTTTGCGAACTTCCCGAATATAGAAACTGAGTTCGAAAGAATAAATCTTAACTTCTTTCAGGTTTTTAAAACTTTGAAAGCGGTATTTAATTGGGTTTGTTTTAAGGCGAAGAGTGTGGAGGGCTACAAAAAACGAAATTTTGGAATAAATCAGACCACCGTGTTCGAGAACTTCAGCCATCTGCAAACTTAGTTTGAAAGCTCTAAGTCTCCACTTTTCCGTCAGTTTTTTTTTAAATAAAAAATGTGTTTTTTCGAACCTTCCGTAATAAACCGCCTTATAAAACTGGACAATTTTGCTTGCTCAAGTATTTTGTTTTAAAGTCGTTTTTTTATGATGTCCAAAATTATTTGTTGTTTTCGATTTACTGAAAAAAAAACTCTAATTTTGCATTGTTAAATCTTGAACTTTTTATTAAAATCTTCAATATTTCTCCATTAGTTTCCTTTTTTTGAGATTTTTTAAATAATTTTTTCAGTTTAGTTGTTTAAGTCAATTGAAATACAGTGTGTGTTTTTGAGAAATAAAATGTGTATAATCACAAATGTATTGTTGTTGATCACACAAAATACTGACAAATTACGACAAGCTTCGAATGATAAAAAAAACGCAACACATAAAAATTTCCAATAATCGCCAGTCAATCTGAACACGGACTTGTAAAATTTTAAATCAGTTTACTTCCACTTTTGTCTGTATATTTAAATTTTAAAATTTATCCTTATGGTCTTTTCCGGATATATCTGGCTGTAGCTACCTTTATGAATTTCCGTCCTCTCAAAACTGTGTTTGAAAGCCCCAAATCTTCGCATTCTTCGCTTTTTTTAAATTAAAATATTCGCTTTAAATTAGGTTTGTTTTAAGGGCAATAACGAAGAGGGTAAAGTTTACTGAAAAAAAAAACCAGTAGATCCGACAGTAGATCCAACGAATTTACAAATCTTCGTCATTTAAAAACTGTATTCGAAAGCTCAAAGCCTTCCCTTTATTCCATGTTTTGAGATTTCAAAATCGGCACTTATGTAAGCTCGTTTTCATAAAATCAACTTTATCGGACAAATCCGACCGTAAATGCAATTAATTTATCAACTTCCAAAATTTGAAAACTGTGCCCCGAAGCCCAGAAACCACTATTTCTTCAGTTCGTTCTAAATTTGAAATCGGTTTTTCATTGAGCTCGTTTTGAGGTGTAGAGAATTTTAAAACGGAACTTTAAAGGATAAATCTGCCCGTAGTTACATCGACTACGATCTTTCGGCATCTGAAAATTCGAAAACTGGTTTCTAAAATTTCATATAAAACTTCTGTATTCGATGAATACCTAATAATAATATAATATACATGCGTGAAGGGCATTTAAATTTAGACACAAATCGTAACGTAAATATGTATTTGTTTTTCTGACCTATAACTGAGCTACTGACCTTAGATCTATTATTCCATAATTGCGAAAACGGGAAAATTGCAAAATTAAAACACGTATTGACGATAGAATGATAATTTATGTAAAGCAATTTCAAATTAGAATGTTTGTTATAGAACTTAAGTTGTCGAGAAAAGTGTATGAAAAAATTGTATGCAATAAGTCTCTGTTTTTTTTGCAATGTTTTTCATCTCATGAATATTTAATTTAATTCTCAATAAATACGGTGATTCAGTAGATGGCATGAAAAGATGTTTGATAAACGTTTCTCGGCATTTTATATTTTGAGAAACACTGAATTGTTTTAGGATCGAGAAACAACGGCCTCTGAAATTGCCATTGTATTAGTTAGCAGACTTTCCAATAGTTATTGGTCACTGCATACAAAAGTATTTATTTAATCCAAGGCGATTTTGTAAAGTTTTTATGAAAAAATCGATACTACGTGATGTAAATATAATATGCAAATGACCATAATAGCGTTGGCGCAGGAAATTTAGAACTTGTTGATTTTCCATTTTACTCTTGCGTGTGACCTAAGGGGTAATTGGAGCTTGGACCCAAGGGGTGAATATTCTCTTCGGCTTTAAGTAAGCAGTTGAGATTCGTGACCCTTGTAGTGCTAAACTGGTGCAAATGTCCAAGCCAGAAAGCGAGATTTTGGATCTGGAAGATAGGGATCCGCAACGAATTAATCAGCATCTTGAGGTGTGTAGATAAATGTTAAACTAATTGATAAAAAACAGATAATTTTTTAACGGTTTTAATCTGTTAGTTTGTTGCTGAAGAGTATTTGTCAATCTAGAACAAAAAGTTGTTGATATTTAGCAAAATTATTTATCTTTATGGCATAGGAAATTCGCATGGTGTAAAGCCTTCAGTTTTTATTCTTTATATATTATTTATATATTCTGGCTTATACTGAATCACCTGATTTGGATATCCAGATTTTAAGTTATGAAACGACTTACAGAACGTGATTTAGTTGTGGATAAACAGCAAATAAATTTTAGGTTTCATGGGACACTTTAATAGGAGAACCGCAGTCCCTGAGAAGTCCAGAATGCGCTTGGACACTAAGCCAGTACTGCTTCAGATTCTCCAGAATTGGTGTTTACACTTGCCTATCGGTATTGTTTGCACCAATAGCAGCCTGTTTCGTTGGCACTTGTTATGCCGTGTTTTATTTTCAAGTAAGCGTGTTAATTTCCTTAAATTATCATTTAAAAAAGAAAATGATATTTTACTTAAATATTTTTAATTGTTCCAGTATATATGGTGCTCAGTGCCCAGTTTATGGTTGTGCAAGGCAACTTGCGGAATTACCCGATCGTTTGTTAGAGCTTTCACTCATGGCTGCTTAATTCCGATTACCACAGGTTTTGGATACGTTCTGTCTGAAATCAAAGTAAAAACTCAAAAAGTTCAAGAACCTGCTGAGACCAAAGAAGAAGATGATCAAGTTTTCATTATATAAATATACTTTCTTGACGTAAAACTTCTACATTAATTGCATTGGAAAATCAGTCGAGGTTTAAAAAAACCGTGTTCAAATCAAATACTTTATTAATTCATTGAAGCATTTTTGCGTTAATTATTACGTTATTATTAGTTTAGTATTAGTTAGCCATTCATTAGCTACTGTTTAATAACATTTTTTGACGGATACTCTTCAACAATATGCTTAGTGCAAATGCATTATTTCATACTGTTTCGTAAAAAAATAATTTTCGATATGATGAAATTGTTTGAAAAGTATGTGCGACAGAAAATTTTCGCATTTTATGTTAAGTTCAGTATATTAATTTAAACTCATTTAGTTTCAAAGCCAGCAAATGAAATACATGTTCATATAAATTACATTTTTGTTACTGTTTAAATGTAATCAGTTCAAATTGGTCAAAAATCGTTTTATTTTTCCTTCATTGAAGTTTTATTTTGTGGAATTGCTTTTAAAATGTATTAATGTTATTTGGATGCAAGTTAGAACTCACTGAATGCAAACACGCTTATAAGTGCAAGCTTCTTCTACCAATAACATATCTAAATTTCTCGCTTTGGATAAATGCAGAAAGCTAATGATTTTTTCCAAAATATTCACAAAATCAGAAAGGTTAAAAATTAAACAATCAGAAAATTCCTGTTTACTTATAGGACAAAGTGTTTGTTTGCAATTTCACACCAAATTTAGAATATGAGTTAAATTGCAAATAATAACTAAATGACTCAAATACAAAATTTATCAACATTCAGAACAGAAATCGACTAGAATATTTTTGCTTAAATCTAATAGAAGTTCGTTTAATTGAAAATTTGCATCTGAGTTTGTCGTGTATCTTTACTATTGCTCCACATATATAATTTAATGTTGATTTGAATAATTATCGAGCTAATGAATACGTGATATCGCTCGTTAGTTAGTAATTAATAAAACTTTTGACTGTTGTTGATGATTTTTTATGTTGATTTTGAACACACACTTTTAAAGAAATAGTTCCCAAAGTGTGTAAATTTATTGATTTATATACAGCAATAGTATAAAGGCTATTGCACCTTAAGTATTATTTGGTTGGTTCAAAATATTTTTGGTATGCAGATTTTTCCTTTGAATTTCCTTTAGCTCAATTTTCTGCAATACAACGACAGAAGCTTACCAGACTGGAAATCGTAAATATTAACATTCGGACGTCTTGTGTTGACCTGCGATGCCATTTAGTCAGCAATATGTTACAAAAACAATAACTATGCAAATTCACCTATTGAATGGTTGAATGCAATGAATGCTAATTGGTTTCAAAGTCACACAATGGTTGGACATTGGTTGACTTTGAAATTATACTAAATTTCGTGGCACATATTTCAATGTATTCAAAACTTAAGAAATTTTAGAAAAAAATTAAGATGAGGAAAAATTTTTGGTGGACCGACCACTGAGCAGGAAGAATGAAGATGATGAGGTTTCACAAATTGGATCTAGTGATTCTCGTTTTGACGCTACGTTTCCATTCTAATGTTAATGGAATAGGTTAGCATATTATTTATCTAACTTTTTCTTTACCCGTCTTTCAATGATTTCCTGTTAGTTAATGCTTCGATCATTCGACATTCGGCTGATGTACAGAGTGGCAGAAAAACTTTAATGAACGTTAAGTGAAACTGTTACTCGGTGGAAAATATCTAGGTACAATCGTTTTCGCTAGGAAAAGGGATATTGGAGAATTTATTGAGAAAAGAAACACGGTTAAATATCTTGAGATGACCCTGGAAAACCAATTTACGCAAAATAAGCTACAACAATGTAAAAATCTTCGCTTTTGCTCGTATAAACAAAAACTTTGCACTTTCCTGCACATATTGCATCATTTATGGTGGACTTCGTTATTATTTGAGCCACTTTATACACTCGACTTGCAACAAAAGCGATGCAATATAAAGTCGGACTTCCTGACTGATTTAGCGTTTACTACCAATCGAGGTTCATTCCCATGATGGCATCCATAATCAGCTACTATCGAGGGAATAAAGACAAATTTGTATGGAAGAACATTGCCCTGCTGTTTGGTTTTCATCCGATTGCGCTGTTTGCCCTATTTCGGGTTCTAAGTGGTTCTGCCAGCCTTAATACAGTCCTTTTCAGTAAGTCAATTATTTTCACTACTTTTACTGTTAATGTAAGTAACCCAAACAAGATACTGTCGAAAAATTGAATAAAATCTATTTCTGTTAATTTACAGTGATGTTGTTTTGCAGATTTTGCTTTAGGCTTTTTAGGGTTTTTAAGCCTTACAGCTGGCGCTCATAGGCTTTGGTCGCATAAAGCTTATAAAGCTCGATGGCCTTTAAGACTTATGTTGGTGCTGTTTAATTTCTTGATATACGAGGTATGTCACATCAGTTTTTTAGCAGATATTTTCCTTCAGAAAAATTGTTATTCTCCCTGTTTGTGATGATGGGTTCCTTGCAAATATAACTGGAAGTTCGTTATGTTTTTAATAAGGAGTCTGGCGCCTCAAGTGGTTTACTTTTTGAGATTTTTCAATATTTGCCTTCAGTAACACAATTAAGGAAATAAGCGCATTATGGTATAACGAAGCAATGTTCAAAGTGACTTTTTACATTATTTAGTTCATTTTTAATGCAAATGTTAGTAAAGTGGAAAATCGCACATTTTTGCATGCAACTTTAGGCGCCTGTCGATCAATCCTTTTAGTACAGTTAGTTCAATGAAGGCTGAACAGAACCAGAACCAATGAAACCTTTAAATATTTTCAATAATTTTCATTTCAAATTTTGTCAGAATCCTATAATTCATTGGGCTCGAGATCATCGCACTCATCACAAATTCAGTGAAACCGACGCTGATCCTCATGATTCCAGACGTGGGTTTTTCTACGCACACATGGGCTGGGCAATGTTGAAAAAACGCCCAGAAGTGTTGAAAAAAGGCAAAACCATCGATCAATCCGATTTGCAGAATGATAAAGTATTGAAATGGCAAGAAAAGTACTACATGTTGTTGATGCCTTTAGGCACGTTTATTCTGCCTACCGTAATTCCTGCGTATTATTGGCAAGAAACATGGGCAAACGCATACAGCGTCAATATTTTGCGATATTTATGGGTTCTTCATCTGCATGGATTGATTAATTCGGTTGCGCATACTTTTGGAGAAAAACGATTTGATAAGTAAGTTAGAGAAAATTGAATATAAACTGCTAAAGGAAAGCAATGGTCTTGTAAATAGAAAACAGTTTCCATTTATGTCGAGGAAAGATCCGATTTTTAACAAACATTGAGACGGGGTTCTAAAGGGAAAAAAACACACAAAAAACTTGTCACGTTATGTATTTGTAGATTACGACTTGTAGTCGCTTTTTTCACAAAAAGCAGGGTTTTGATCTTCAAATTAAGTAAATCAGAAAAAATCGAAAAATAGTGTATAAAATAATAATACAAATAATAGAAGTGTATTTATGATTTCATTTGATTTATGGTTTCTGTTTAAAACAACGTGTTTTTTATATATTCTCTATTATAAATTCGATTTTACTATACCCCATAAAATTACTGTAACGAGTCTGTAGAAAAAGCATTAGAACAGAAACAATAATAATTTTGCGTAGGTATAAACAGGGAAGTAAAATAATGGTAAACAACACTGATTTAAAGAGATTTTACAGTTTAATTTTCAATTCCTAAAGATTGTATTTTTTTATCTTCTTAATTCCTCTTACCATGTGCAAATTAATCTTCATACAGTGCTCTTCAGTTCTTCTACTTAGTTAATCTATGGTTCAGCTACAGATATAAATTTGGTTAGATTAGTAAACAGCAAAAGGTTTTTAACTGGATTTATTTTAGAAATATTGGACCTGGAGATAGTGTTTTGGTATCGGCTCTAACTCTTGGTGAAGGTCAGCACAACTATCACCATACGTTTCCATGGGATTTCCGAGGTGCAGCTACCGGAATGTTGCGCTGGAATTTAACGCTTTTCTTCATATTGGCCTGTGCGAAAATAGGATGGGCCTACGAAATGAAAGCTCCTTCGGATGAAATTGTGAAAAAACGAGCGGCCCGAACTGGCGAAGAAACTCATCTATGGGGTTGGGGTGACAAAGACATTGAAAAAGTCATTGAAGAATATAAATTTTCTACGACTGTGGATTGATTGATACACTCAAACAACTGATCTGACTGAAGATTGAAAAATGTGATTATAAGGGTGTTAAGGGCGTGCAAATGTACATTTTTTGGACTTGCTGAATATAATTTAAATTTGTAAAAAGTTGTTGTTTGATTTTTTTGTTAATATTGAAACACATTGAAACTTAAACACATTTTTGTTAATGTTTTTTTATTGAGAAATACAGACACAGATGAAAGATTAAGGTTGTCTAATTTTGTGATTTTTTTGAAGCTCATAAACTGGCGATGTTTCTGAGTATTTAGAACACGACCAATAGGCCAAAGCTTTTATATGTAAAATTTGCAACCTGTGAAGATTCTAGTGCAACAAGTAAACCAAGTGCTACAAATTTGGAGTTTATTGCGGATTTTTTGATGCCCAAAATGTAAACTGTTCGCGTCGTTTTTCACATTTGTTTTCAGTAATATTGATGTTTTAAAAATATATTCAACAATCCTCTACTAAAAATTCATACTTTATTGCTTGCACAAGAAGGCGTCTCAGTTTATTACCAAAATTGGGATTTTGTGTGTTCTCATCAAGATTGTTTAACACAGGTTTCTTTCCAAAAAATGTCCAGTTATTTTAATTTAGCACATTATTTGCGCCACTAAACAACTGAATTTGCTGGGGTTGCATGTTAAGAGCGAAAATTCTCCAATATTTATTGGAGTTGTTAATATCTCCATTTCACTTTCCTTCAAAAAATTGCTGCCACTTTTCCTATTTATATTTAACATTTTCATCATTTTTTTAACATAACATCAGATTTAAAATTTTTATCGTTTCTACTAATATCTCCAAAACTGGGAAAGTGTTTAAGAGGTTTTTCGGCAAATGGAAACATGCTATGGTAGGTAAAATTACTGAAATATGAAATGTTCAGCATTTTAAATCATATTTTAATTGACAAAATACTACAATAAACGTATATGATTTATATAACAAAGAAAAATTGGAAACTGGCTAGTTTCGCCCCTAAGAATAATGTTTAGTACCAAAACTATCTTTTTTTATGCAAGTTAATTTTTTTTTGCAAAACATTTAGAATCCTCGATTCACACGAATCGATACCGATAATTATTTTTGCGATTTTCTCAAAACTGGTAAATTTTTAGAGCTTTCGGTAGTTTTAGTTTTTTTAGTGGACATGGGTAGAAAATTATTTCTTGATTGTCAGTGAAAGTAATAATTGTAGTGTCTTGAAATCAATGAAATCGAGAATAAAAACGGATAATTAAAAAAATATACAATTGACAAATTTAAACTGGACAGTTCTTGGGCAGTTAGACGGTCGTGTAAAACAATTTCTTCCTGATTTTTCGCAAGCATGAGTAGCTCTCATCTTCAGAGGTGGTTGCTGCGTTAAAAAACAATTTCAAGCAATGGCTGAGAAGTGGCAGAGAAGGCTGGCTTTTTGGGTTTTATGACACAATCAATACATTTAAAAGAATCCCTTTCGAATAGATAAAGCGCTTCTAATTTTAAAAACGCTTTGGCCCATTTTTTTTTTAATAATTGGTTATCCGACGACGACGACTTATTGGCAAAACGATTTCTGCTGAAGCATTATGTATTTATTCGCAATATTCATTGGCATCGTGTTAATATGCAACAATGAAAGTAATTATTGTCATTGTTGTTTCATACAACTTATTTTGAGCTAGTAGCATGGATTTATTCATACGCATTGTCTGTGGTCTATAAAATATGATTAGTTTCGTAGGAGGCACATATTCGCTTGTTCTGCAATATGGATAGTACGAAAACATCATTTAGCACTGAGCAGTTGGGTATTGTGTGGAGAAATGTGATTTTATTTGGCATTTTACATGCGATTGGTTTAATTGGAATATTATTAGTCGCCAAGGGTCAAATTTCATATTCGACACTCATTTTTGGTTAGTATTGCCCAGCTTTCGGTTAAGTACATGTACAGTTCGTCATTAAACTAGTAAGCACATCAAGCTCGTCAATTGAATTATTTTCTTCGCTTTCAAGATGCAGTGTTTTAATATGATTAGTCGTTTCAGATATAGTACTAGGTGTTTCTAGTCAAATTGGGATAACTGCCGGAGCTCACAGATTGTGGGCACACAGATCATATAAAGCAACATTCCCCTTAAGGCTTCTGTTGGTCGTTTTAGATACTTTTGTGTATCAGGTATGTAACCTAAACTAACACAATAGTCTGTAATCAATACTATATTGGTAAGGCTTGATAGATCTGAAAATTAGTCTTAATGATCATTTTTTTAAATACGGTCAGTTTGGATGAGATTTTTATGTTCCAAGTTGTCGATTTAATTTAAACTGCTCACAATTCAAGCGTTTCTAAAATTGTGTAGTGTTTTCCGTTTATTGACAGTATTTTCCTTGTACCTTTGAAATATTTTTTAAATCTAGAGCATTGACCAACCCAATAAACAAAAATACCAAATTTTGCAAATGATTGACATGAAAACTTTAGCAAATACGTTCCTAAATCGTACGTGCAAAACCCTAGAAAATCCAATGTATTATTGAATATAAGTGTATTCAAAACAGTCGGTATTTTTTTTGAATAATTCTTCAATTGTTTTTATGTTTTTAGTTTATCAAACATATAATTCTGTTTTCCTTTGAATTTTTTGTAAGCAGCACTTAGTAAGCAGGAGCAAAAATTAGGTACTTGAACTTCGTTAGTGGATGTTTAGTTAAAAATTACATCTTTGTCTAGTTCTGCTGTAACTTTCTTTAATTTTGCAACTTTAGTTTCGAAATCTTTACTTTTTTGGAACCAGTTGAGATATGGAGCGTCGTTTTCACAAGGACAAGAACATGATTTAAATTAATTTTTCATTGACATAAATAAATTAATCGTTACTCATTTACAGTAACAAAACCTTGCTTACTCATTCGACTGCCTTTTGAGCAGCATCATAATTATATACAGCTTCCTTCATTCATCTTTCATTTTATTTCTCACTTATAGTAAATTCTCCGTCATGTTTCAGACATCTGTTATCAATTGGTGTCGCGATCATCGTCTCCATCACAAATATTCCGATACTCACGCGGATCCACACAATGTTAACAGAGGCTTCTTTTTCTCCCACATCGGCTGGATAATGGTTCGAAAGCACCCGGAAGTGAAAGCAAAGGGTAAAGGAATTGACTTGTCCGATCTCTACTCGGATCCTCTGCTAACGTTCCAGCACAAGTACTACCTTCCTCTGATGTTACTCGCTTGTTTTATTACGCCCGTTGCTGTTCCAATGTATTTCTGGAAGGAAACCTTCCTCAATGCCTTTTCCCTGAATATTGTGCGCTATTTGATTATCGTTCATAACACTTTCACAATAAACTCATTTGCTCATCGATTTGGATACCGGCCATACAACAGGTAAGTGTTCCTTGCTCCTTAAGAAAAAGACTATTAAGAAATTTACTTTCCAGATTTATTGTTCCAGGAGACAGCTTAAATCTGTCTCTGGTGACTTGTGGAGAAGGTTTCCACAATTACCATCACACGTTTCCTTGGGATTATCGATCTGCAGAGTTTGGGAAGTTTTCCTTTAACTTGACCAGAAGGTTCATCGAGTTTTTCAACCAAATTGGATGGGCGCATGATCTGAAATTTGCCTCAGAGGACATGATTAAGAAGCGAGTACTACGAACAGGAGCCAACATTGAAGAAGTCGAGTTAAAGATCTAAAAATTAGTTAGCATTAATTTTTGGAGAAAATGTAAAAAAGTATTGTTTTTTTCTAATAAAGCACCCTAGGAAAAGTACTGAAAGCTGGATTACAACATCATCGAATTTCCAGTTATCGCGGGAAATATATAACTTTTGAAAAGTGCGTACGTAAATCCACTCTTCCACATTGTAGTACACAATTTAAATAAAAATTCCATATTCAGTGGAGACTTAATATTTTGATAGACTATCTACAGGATCACAATCTTATCAACATAGTCGATTTTTCCCATCTTTCTAAATTTAAATCCGAACAATTCTAGGTTAAAATGAGCGCTGGCTTAGTGTGGACAATCCGTAAGTATTTCCAATCATCTTTGGACTTTTTCATTACACTTTTCTGGTTTAAGTTTTTGTGGTTTGTGCGGAAGTCTGCAGTTATGCTGTGAGTCCAAACAATGACATTGAATCTGGCTCCAGTTCTGATCCAGTTTTGCTCAACTCCAAACTATGTGTTGACAAAAATGGAAGACGTCTATATGGAGAAATTGCTTATAAATTAGACTGCAGGTAAACAATGTATTCAAATGATATTCATGTCGTTGATATGTTTTAATATCATATCCATTGTTGCACTGATAACTTTTCTATTGACTTTTAATGCAACAGTTGTTAACTTGTTAACTGTTAAATTAGCAGACAATAAAAATTAATTTTTACTTGAATGCACTCGAGAAGCGTTTTTCGGAAATACCTCATTTTGCCCTTGAACTTTCTTCCACGTGTTTCACAATACTGTGCAGTACTAATTCAAGGCAGCTTATGAATATTTTAGTGTGCAAAACGCATTTATTTTACCATAAGGAAACTTGACATTAATGAGACTGGCAAGTTATCTGTCGCGATCAGTTGCGAAATATTTCGCAGTATTCCTAGGATTAGGGATTATTGCTTATATCTAAGTTTATATACCCACTTACACTTTATTTACATTTGTTTTTAGATTGTCTGTATCTGTAATCAATCACCTACTTTTCTGCTCCACTCTAGATTAGATGTGGAACAGGATGATCGGTTTACACACAAGGATGATAACTATTGCTCAAATAAAATATACACATTTGATCGTAATGAGAAATTCATTGGCAGCTAATTGAAAGGCAAAATATAGGTATTAAACGATGCTAATTAGAGGGAAGACGGATGGAAAATAAAAAATACTGAAAGTCAAAGAAGGTCAAGGAAAATTAAGAAAACCTTCAATACGTGTGAATTCGCCTTGCAATTTCCTCTTTTAAATTGAGGAGCTAATATGTCTGCAAACTCAATTTATTATTCCTTAAATAAATCGAGAGAAGAAGGCGTTAAAGGCAAAATATTTAGAGCGTTCATCAATCTATAAACAAAAGATAAACTAATATAAATATGCAGACATTTTTTCCTTTAAATATTTTAAATTGATTATTCAATTTTTGACAGTTTTATTGAAAAGTATCATTTTTTTGTACATTCCAGTTTGAGAGGAAATAATGTTCAAAAGTTTACATTGAAATGAATTAATTGCAGTAATACAATCAGTTATTTGGTCCAATCCGATAATAAACAATACAGAAGTACTTGGAAAATTTTTCATTTTTAAGTGTAGAATTTTTATTCATCCTTTTTTATATTATAATATTGTTTTATTAAAAAATCGTTCACACTGCAAAGTTAAGTTAAATTATAAATTACTTTGAGCCCCGTGATTTTCTCACATTTCCTATGAATTTTTTAAGATTAAATATGTTGTTAATAATCTATTGAACTATTAAATCTTGTCAATTATTTCATCATTATTTATTCAATTGCTTTGAATTTCTCTGATAAAACACACAGTTGCGATTTTAATCGGCTTTCGGAGCTTAAAGTCACTTTGACAAAAAAGTTGAAATATTTATTCATCTTGGAAATTCCTTGGTTTCTCAATTAGCTTCCATTCGAAGTGTTGATGCTTGTTGTGTTTTGGGCAATTGATAACACATTTTACTGCTGTTTTAGGGAGCAGAACCGTTTTTTAATTAAGGAGATTTGTACTTTTTTTTGAAGATTTAGTTGTTTGATTCTTTGCTTATTCATAAATTCATAACAATACTTGCTCTATACCAACTTTATTAATTTTGGAATTAATGCCTTCACCATTCTTACTATTACTTCTATTTATTTCACTGCTGACATTTTTCGGGTCTATCTGAATTGTTTGTCTAACATTTTTTATATTGGCTGCAATATATTAAAGAAAATATAGTAGACATTAAACGTTTTTTGAATAGTCGCAATAATCATCCTCAATCATCTTGATGAAACTATATTCCACTATAAAATATGCTACATTCTATTATCAGTTTGAATATTTTTGAAGATATAAGACACTTAGACACTAAGAAAAATTAATAATACACATTTGGTCTGTTTTTCAGGAAATTTGTACACTGCGCTCCTGGACTTGCAATGATTGTCTTTTGCCAGCCTGGTCTTCTGTTTAACCAGGCCAAAAAGTACTGCGATTGGCCGAGAGAGGCAAATTGTGTAGAATTCAGTGCTGTAGACCCGACTAAATTAGTTGTACCTGCAAACAGTATACCATGGAATTAGTTGTAATTATAAAATTTAGCTGAAAATACCTTTTTTTTATAAGTAAGAAGTTTTATAATTTTAATTTAAGTTATTTTTTGTTCAAGTTAAGAATTCTTTAGAAATTGTACAGACTTGTGGGTCACTTCCAAATTTTGTCCGAATTATTCAAATTGAGACAGTTATCTAATTGAAATATTTTAAGTAATTAATATTTAAAATTATCGTAAATGTTTGCATGGAAATTTTTTTAAGGTACTGACTTGATCGTATTTAATGATTTCGACTAAAAGTGTATCATTTACCTTTCCTATTTATTGGCCATGTGAGCCACTTCTAAAAATTGCTAAGAAGATGGGAAAAATATTGTATAGCACTACCAAAAGAAAAACTAAAAGTATTTTAAAATTAAGCAAAAAAACCATAATTAATAACGAAATTAACCCAAATAAAACCATAATATTCTTATAAAACAATGTTTTACAGATTGCAACAAGGAAGAATTATTTAGCCGTTATAACTGTTGAATATACCCTTTGCCATAATTTCTCATTAAAATTAATCGATAACTTTCACTTTGGCCTCATTAAGGCAACATTACCGATTAAATAAAAACGAAAATAAATTTTGTAACGCACAAAACAGGCATTTATAAAACTTGGAGAGCTAGTTAATAATACAATCGAGATAGGGCCGACCGTAGGCAAATTATTTAATAAGCGGCATCTTTAATGCACTTTACCTTAAACAATAAATCACTTTCGCTAAAGAATTGTTAGTAAATCACGCGTTCTCGGTTTGTTTACACTCGAAGACACATTTATTGGTTCGGTATGAGTTATGGCGCATTGAGTTCAACTTTGTTACATTTTTATTGTAACAAAGTCGGGCTTATTCGTTAAGGTAATTAAGGGAAGCCTATAATATGTTTTATGATCGGCATATAGCTAATTAAAATTATTAATTGGCCAGCCTTGGTTAATAATAAACTGTTTCCTTCGTTAGCCTTAGGACATTATAATTTCGTAGAAAAAATGTGAAGAAAAGTGCTTGATTTATATTTACTTGTTTACATTTGAAAACTACACCAAATTAGTTCTGATGCAACTTAATAAATAAATTATTCATCACACAAGAAGTTTCACATCACCAATTGAAAATCAAAGAAAACAAATCAGACTCATTAAAAAAATTACGTAAATCTACTTTGCAATTTGTGCACTTTACATTAATTGTTTTGTTTGGAAATATACAAAAATGATACTATTTTAGATCTTGGGAATCGTTCCAACTTAACAAAAAGTATATAAATTTTCAAAAATTGTCAAGATTTAAACAGTAGTCAGAAGAATTCGCCAAACTTATTGAATATTAAGTCGCGAAAAGGAAATTTCTCTAGTTAATGAACGAAAATATTCTTAATTGACAAAAATATCGCAACAAAACCAGCAGCTCTAATGATACATTATGCAAGTCATTGAATTAAACTTGAATAAAAATCAATAATGAAAAATTATGCCACCTGCCAGTGATCATTCAATAGACGAAAATGTGGCTTTCCTTTTTGGTAGCAACCAACCAATCTTTATTCGATATGCCGGCAACAAGTAAAATAAATTATTATTAATTGCTGTACGAATATACGCCGGTAATTTTCTTTAAAGTTACTATTAATTTGAAAAGGGGCTTCGGAATAATTTACTAATTAGCCGTATTTGTAATCCATTGACCTACCGCAGCGAAACCATTACGATCGTTTGTTGGCTGTAATAATTACTTAATTTATTATATTATGTTTCATTTAATAAGTTTGAAATGTTGAGGTTTGAGTTAACCAACACACCATGAAACAGACAGTCAGCTAAGTAATATTAAAAGTGTATAGAAAATGAAACATCAAGGAGATTAAAATTTTTAATACAATGTTTATGTTGCAAAAGCAAAATAAATTTGCAAAATTTTCTACTCTATACAACTATTTTTCTTAAACTCAGTAGAACAGTTCAGGTTCGATAAACTAAAAAAAAAACTGAAAATAATCAGAATTACATAGTATGAAAGTGGATTTATTGGTTTTTGAAATTATAATATATAATAAATTTGCATGTATATAATTTTAACATCAATTAATCGACAGCTGAGTGAGCAAAATACATCTACTAATGTCTGTTATAGAAAGAGTCGAAACATAGGAAATGTGCATGCTTTTTTCCTTTTTCAATAGACCTCATTATAGTTTCTCCTTGTTCCACATTAACTGTTAGCGAAATATAGAGAAGCTCGTTGAAGGAATATTTTTTCGCGTAGATCTGAGAAAAATTATATTTAGAATTACCAGTTTTGGTACTAAGGTTTCATCAGATTGTTCTGTGAGGATCACTAATTAACTTTCTTCATACTTAGAAAGTAGCAAATTAAACTCTAAAAATGTCGGTGATTGCTACGTAAAATTGAACAAATTCAACAATCGAATAAAATCGAAATTAAAATTCTGATCTGAACGGAAAATAGAAAAATAAAAGGTTCGAAAGGATTATAAATATTTTGTGAGCTGTCAAAATTGGTCGGATACCTGCTCAACCTTTGAACAATTATCTAATTAAAATTAATACCCATTTAAAAACGAAACTCATCAAAAGCTGCCCGCGGACCAAATTAATCATGAATAAATGGGGCTGCTCTGATGATCGTTTTAATTTAATAATTAATGAAAAATATATTAGGGCCTAGTTAGCAGGTGCTTAAAAAAGGCCGATCCCATACGGAATCGTTTCTCGAAGCTAACAGATCTGTTGCAAAGTTGTTAATTTGAGGATGATTAATTTCTTATATTTTACATCAAATAATTTAATTTTATTTGGGTCCGCCCCTAAAACTTATGTCTGGATTAAACGGAAATCATTTAACCAAAGCCAATCAGAGTTTTTAATATGTCAATCGTTATTAATTAGGTACCACTTGCTAAAAAGCCAAATTATGTGAAGTGTGCTTGTAAAAAAGCATATGAACAAGACAAAAGCAAGTGTTTTGAAAATTTGTTAATTTTGTATAAGAAGTTAATAAATCTTAATAAAGAATCACAGAAACTCAATAAAGTTTAGCAAGCACTCACTAACAAAAGTAATGGAAATCAGTATATGAAAATAAATTGTAACCATTAAAGAAAAACTGGAGGCGGTTGTTAAAGCACTACATAATTTCCATTCGCTCTCCTTTAAGTAGTATTTTTTTAAATTTTTCGGTCGTGCTTACATTGAATTTGTGTAAAGAATGTATCAAATGTGCGCTGAAAATATGCTTTTTTTAATTATGCAATTAGAACAAGTATTTATACAAATATATAAAACTTCAAGGAAAGTTGGAAAATCAGAGTAACTCATGGCTCATCGGCACACATGTTCGGTTCTTTTTGCTCAAGTTTTCGCTGACCTTCAACCATTTAGAGAACACGAATATAATTTTTTTTAATAGCAGCTCAGAAATCTGACCTCAAGATTTAAAAAATCGCGAAAATGATGCTGAAAACCTACAGAACTCTTAAAGACAGCGGTGGGTTATTCCCATGCAATTTAGAAATTTTGTAACGAATATACAATAAAATTACCGAGCTTTTGAAGAGCTCTGAAGAAATTCCTCAAAAATGAAATTCTGACAAAGTTTAATTGTAGATTGGTTTTTCGATTTCCAGAGCTACTTTGTTTTGAGATTATTCTAAAAAAAGGGTTTCGTTTATATTTTCCAATCTTTGCAAAAACGTAACATAGAAAACGTTGCCAATGACATTTTCAATCAATTGTTCAAAAATTCAAGTCTTCAGCGGTCTTCTTAGAAAGCGATATTATTTTCTTTAAATTACGCGTCACAAATTGACTCTCAAATGTAAAACTCTTCTTTTATTTTTAACGAGTTACACAAGTTATGTAACTCTAGATACAGCAATTCCGCATTTACATGCTAAAAATCAAGTTATTTGTAGCGGTAGCAAAAAAAGAATTTTGCGAAGAACGTCAAAAACAATAAAAATGTGAAGTTCTTTTAGAGTTTTAAAAAATCTCATAATTTTAACTTTCCGACGTAGAATCTCTTACGTCAACAGAAAAACTTTTTTAAATTTTTGCTATGAAATGCTAGAAATGCTATGAAATGGACAACCTGAAATTAACTTTTCAATCTACAAAGGAATAAACTTAACGTGATTAAATAAAAATGTCTCTTTCCACACAACATGTGGATCTTTTAATGGGCTTAGAACGAGATTTGTTTGTGTTTTCTAGGCTTCCGAAGTTTAAGTACTAGCTAAAGACTTTTTAGCAGCCCAAAAAAAATACATTGATCTGTAAAAGAAAATTTTTCGTATAAATTTGGATTTACGGACTTTAGATTCATAAATTAAAAGAGATATGAATAAAAATAATTTGTATTCTTATATATATATTTTTTTATTCATATACATGTTATTCTGTTGAAATTTAAAGTGCTCTTAGACATCTTCAAAAAAGTTCAAAATCACGATTTGTTCTTTCGAAAAACGCTAATTGAAGCGCCTTTAAATACAGTATTTCATTCGGGGAAAAAATTAGTATTTTGGAGAACCAGATTTTCGGAATAGTTGAAACAGAAAGGCAGACCCAAATTAAGAAAACCATTAAAATTGCTGTTTGGTTATGGTAATGGTAAATTTCAATCCCTTCCGCAGCTCTAGAAAAATTACATTTTTTCCTTGACTTAAAAACGCTGTTATACAAATAAGTATATAAATAAAAAACTAATAGCTCAAAATGTTATTTTGGTTTTCCGAAAAGGACGAGTTGTAGCGCTTGTTGATACTGATTTTCACTTTCTATAAAAATTCAAGCTTTCAACGAGCCGAACAATTTTTCAAACAGAAGAAACCCAAATTTGACAATTGAATTGCAACAATCGTCCACATTGCTTTTAGTCTTACGAATTCTCAAAGCGAATTTGCTGGAATCAAACTTTCTGCAATTCGCATAATATAAGCCAAATTTCAAGTTTTTTAGCATATCTAAACAGTTCTTTGTTTTTTGCTCTGTCCAAATTTGCAATTAAGTGATTGCAATAAGAGATAATTTATTTAAAACGGCCCTCAATCTTTTCCCAAAGAATTTCAGACGTTTTATTTTTTCTATTTCGGGCAACATTGCAAGCCCTTAACAATTCTAGAAAGAGACCGATTTTAACGCCAAAACACAGGGAGGGAATCACGGAAATTTTAAATGTGTGCCATTGGTAATCGGTTTGGATTTCTTGATCAAGCTTCTAGAGATGTTCGCGTTTTCAAATCGGTTCTAGTAAAGCGAACTATTTAGGCCATACATTTAATAATAAACTGTGTTGTATACAAATTATTTTTAACCGAATTATGTAAAACGCACTATTAAAGCGCTTTATCCAATTTAAGGATGATAAGGCCATTATGAAATTACGTTAATATCCATCTCTTGTGATGTTCGGTACATGTTCCGCATAGTAATAATACTGCTTAGAGCCATCATATTAATAATCTAATTACGATCTATGGCCGTTAAGTGGCGGGTCAGGTAATCAAAAACTCGGACGGTAGCGAGATACATTCCGTTGGAATCTTTCTGATTCTTTCGCCACGAAACCATCAGTCTTCTGTTCTTTTCCAGTCGATGCAAAACGAGAAGGAAGGTGCTGTTGATGACGTGTGGTTAATTGCAATTTGCATGTAATTTAATTTCATCAGGGTCGGACTGGGTGGAGCCCAATGACAGCCTGATTACAGGGTAGTCTAGGCTCGGTCCAGCGGCCGTCAGTTTTTTAAATGTGCCATAAGTGGAACTTCGATTAACTTTTTTAATTCGTTTGGATATTGAATTTATTTGAATAATCCCATTTCAAATTGGATTGCAGTCGGATTTTATAAATATGCATGTACCTACCTACGTCTAATAGCTCAAATGGTGCAGCTAGTTTTTTATTTTTCTTCGTATCGATGCCGATCAACCGGTTCCAAGGCAATTTATTTTAAAGCTAATTCCTACTGACAACTGCAATTAAAGTCATTCTTTTCCAGAAGCCGTAAACTCAATACCTTGGTTTCTTAAGCTGTTGTATTTTTTTCACCTCAATTAATACTTACATTTTTTTATCCTTCTTTAGTCATCTTTGAAAATGGATTGGGCACATGCAACAGAAACGTCCCTTGGAAATGTGAATTCTCCGAACTCCGGGCAGGGAAACCAGATTTGTTCCTTCAAGGAAAACGACCCGCCAGGTTTCCAGATCTGAAGCCACTGGACCCAAATGGGCAATACTTAAATTTGATTTTTTATGTGGGAACCTTTTATATTTCCTAACTAATTTTTCACTTGAATTATGAAATTCTAGATACAATAATTCGGCGTTTTTTTGACTTAATATCAAGTTCTTTGCAGCTCTAGCAAGAAACGTCTTCATAAAGAGCCAATAAAACCGCAAAAATGCAAGATGGTTTTAGAGATTGCAAAATATCGGGAAATCAAACTCTCGGCATATAACTATTTTAAATTGCGCTCTGGATTTCCGGGAAAATTTGAAGGGTTTAGCGATTTTTGGAACCTCCGCGAAATGGAAAACCTCAGATTTCGTCTGTAGATTTAGCCAACTACACTAAAACAACCAATAGATCATGAAACCCCATTTTTTTAGGAGAATTAGGGTTTTGCTGCTCCGTCTTTCAGACTAATTCCCTAATGACACCGGTTTTGCTACATCATTTTACAACTGGTTTGAAATATTTTCAACTAATATCATATCCAGAAGTCTCAATTACTAACCGATATCATTTTTACTGACTCGCGCTTATAATTCACTAATAACTAGTTAGCCCGTTAAAAGATTGCCAGCCGGTTTTTTTCCTTTCGAAAGATGTATAATTTATCGACTTACTATACTTAACTAACAATTTTTGATTTAGGCGTACCTACTTCCATAAAATAGCGATCCCAATTAAAGGATGCCCTTATCATTTCAAGATCGGTTACCAGAATGGAACAGGCTCTACTATCGCCTTTAATTACAACCGTTTACGATTATAATTATTCTTATCTTAAATTAATATAATAATACGGTTAAAAAAGATGAAAAAGTGGTTTATGACAGCCTCATTTTTTTTTGAAACCTGCTCTATTTGAACTTGCTGATTTAATAGCTTGCTTCAGCTGGAGGATGTTAAAAGAAACTCTTTTAATTTCCTTTCTGCTTTATCCAAAACGATATCACTTCCACAAGAAATTAGAAAAAACATCCTGTTTTTACTTGCAAACAATTTTTTGGGAATTAGGATTTGATGAAGATCTTCAAAAGCCCTCAATTGTGATTTATTTTCTGAATCGACTTGAAAAAACTTGAATATTGAACAATAAAATTGTAAACCCATTTCGTAATATGTTCTTTCTGCAAAAGCAGCCCCATTTAAAAATTGGCTTAACTGAAATGACGATGTTCTTAAAGCGTACATTTCCTACAATAGACACTCAAAGATCTGAATTTGCGGTGTACCGTCAAAGAGATTTCAGAGAAGGTGTAAATTGAATCAACCATTGAAGTGTGCCTACTTTTCTGGAGTATTGCCTTTGAAAAATGATGTCGGTTTCTTTGTGGGATTTGGCAATGATTCCGAAAGGCACACGAAACCAGACGCCTGCTGTTTGACGAATACAAGTTTAGGAGCGTTTAATCATTTGATTGTAGGTTTTCAACATTGTGACTAAACCAATCATTGTGAGATTAATTATATGTTCCTGAACATTTGTATAGCTAATTTCGGCCCAGAGTTTGAACGAATCCACTTGGCTTCAGTTGAAACTTTGTTACAATGTATCTTTTTATTCAAATTAGAGTGGGCAGAATGTTGAGAAACTGTTTGACGAGCATAAAACATAAAAGTTTTGGTTTAAAATAAGTACAATATACTATATTATTAGTATAAAGTGAACCAGCAATATTATCAGCCAATTTATTTGAAGATTAGATTCTCTTTTTAGAATTTTCGTCTTCGATTATCATACTAAGTGTTTTCGAACACAGTTTTTCAAAAACCTTTTTATGCGTTTCACCCAAACTGGTAGCATAGCAAAAACTATTTTGAGCGTTTTGCTCAGGCTTAAACATCATGAGGATTTGAGTAATTTTTATGGACGGGGAATAAATCACTTATGACTGTAAGGCATTTTTCAGCTAGATCATGAAGAATTTTTTTGCACATTAAATCAAGGATAGTTGCTTTCTTTATATTAATTTCAGTTTCCTGCTATTTGCAACTTGTAGTGCAACAAATGCGGTGTAAATAGCAGATTTAATATGTCAGTTATTTCTTTAATTTCATCAGTTAATAAATGTAAATTTGAAGACATTTTGTATTATGTTGTGCGGTGGTATGTTTTAATTGAGGAAATATTTTCTGGTACTTTTCCTTCTTCTTTTTTATATCCACAGGCGTTATTTATTATTGCTTAAGTCTGCGATCACGCTGCATCCGTTCTAGAGCGCTGATGGCGAAGAATGGTTATTTCTTTGAAATTCTTTGACGATAGCAAGTTATTTGCATTTTTAGCCAAAGTATAATTTTATTAGATGTTGGCTTCTTACTGAATTTCAATGACAAAAATATTTATTTATGACGCATACCCCGAAATGGCTAAAAAATTTAGCATCATTTATTTAAAAAAATCCAGCAAACTTTTATAATCTACATGCTCCAGCACCTCAAACGCAAACAAAACGAAAAACGCAAATTTTCATTCGCTTCTATACTTCGATTTTTAATTTGCTTTCATTGGCTGAAAATTCTTTATCTTATGTCTCATTCAATTATATTTGCAAAACATTACCAATAAATAATTTTTAGTTTATTACATCGCAAAGCAATTTCACGTGAATAAACTTTTTTCAACCTACTAATCTATACGGAAGTGGAAAACGGTTTCAAGTCAAACTGAATACATTAAAAATAGAAAATAATTTGGCAACTCAAATGCTCTTTTTTCTAAGGCGCCTTTTCCCCATTTTATTTGCAAATTTTATCCTTATTTGATTGGACTTTTTTGCCTTTAACTTTGACCTTTAATGAAAAACAATTTTTACTCATTTGTTTCATGACTTTTTGAATAAATTTCGGTTCAAAAACAATTTTTATTAGGGTTTTATTACTATAACTGAGTTGTTTTACCATAAATCTGTGAAAATGCGTTTCAATAAAATTCTTCATATTTCTCGAAAATTAATGAAATAAGGATATTTTCAGGAAATAAAAACTTCAAAATCGGCAAAATAGGTTTATTTTCCATTATTTTTTAATTGCTAAAGCTAAAAAGGGGACGGATTCCTTTCCAACTCACAGTATTGCCCTTATGGTTACTAAATTATATCTTCTTAAGTTCTATTCATAAAAGTCTAATTACATTTACGATATTGTATAAAAAAATATATGTACAATTGGTGAAACTAGCTAGACTATATAAACAGATAATACTTTCAATCCATACAATTATTTAATTCTATTTACTCTATACAGAAAACGAAAAGTCTGAAATAAATACTACAGATTTGGCAAAATATAGTCGGCTAAATCCTAAAATATGTAAACGTCTTTCTTTGGATGTTGAAAGTTCCTAAATCTATCAACTTTTTGTTTAATAGAACCGAATTTTTCAAATTTAATTTTAGCGGATAACGTAGAAAATAATATTAGTTTAGACCATGCTCGTCACCGATTCAATGCATTATGGACGGTGTAAGTTTAATAAAATATAAAATCTTAAATTGTAGTGAACATTTTTAAATCGATTTAGTCTTTCAATATGTAATACACGAATATTTTTTCCATAAACATACAGATATTTTCGGAATATTAAACATTTATGAGAAAAATTCAATTGAGTGAGTCTTATTTTTACCGAATCGAATCTATTTCTCACTATGGCTGTTCTTCAACCGGAAACGGCTTTGTTTCCGCTGTTCGCCTAATCATTAGGGTAAAAAACGCAGAACGGCAGTTTCGATAAAACCAGTTTATGTTAAATAAAATAACAAACGGCAAAAAATCACCGGTCAAAATATCAAAATGTAAAAAAACACAAGTAAAATTTAAAAAAGCAGTAAAGGACAATTAAATTTTATGAACATTTCATTGATTAGTTATACGATCATGTCTATTGTCAAACACTTTAAAAGTTTATTAAAAAACTTTCAGTTATTTAACATATTTGACATTTAGAAAGTAAACTCGAAACCTTGAATCATTTTAGTGTTATTTTCATGGGTTTTTGAAAGTTTTGATTTGATGATTTTGCTTATATAGATTCATAGTTATATCATAGAAGTTATAAAAAAGCTAGAAATATAAATTAAATTTGACAAAAACCAACTGATTAAACTGATTGAATTTTCAGTTGATTTTACTTTCAATCTCCCTTTATGGCGAGGAATAGACCCGATTCTGCAAATCTCCAGTTCCTATCAACTGTTAGAAAATGTCCTTACAAAACATCTGTAAAATGTAAAAATATTGCTCACGATCTAAGCGATCCATATCATACAAAACCTTAGCAAAAGCATACAGCTTATCTCAAATAGTTTTAGAGGCGCAATCTGAGCGTTTATAAACAACAACTTTCAACTAATAACAGTCCATAGTAACTAAACCTAGCTAATTAAGTCATTGCTCTGTCGCATCATCTTCATCTTCATTTCGTGCTCTTTAGCTTTCATTCGCAGATTCACAATACTAGAGCTCCTCCTATCCATGTCCATATCGACTGGAGGAACAATGGTTGAGGTACCTGGCGATATAGGAGGAGACGCTGGAAACTCCTGTTTGGGCCTCTGGTTGGCCGAAATGTTAGCCAAAAGCGTCTGGAATGAGCTGGCTGGATAAAGGCCGACAGAAGGTTGCAAGAGTGGAGGCACTGCTCGATGGTAGGATGGCGCCGATGGAAGATATCCAGGAATAACATGGTGAGGATAACGGAAGGTGAGGGAGTCAAACGGTTTTCGCAATCCAAATGGCAAAGTGAAGGGATTGGGTAAGGATGAAGGAACTACGGACGGAGCTGAAGCGCTGGAACCTGGTGTAAGGTAAGGATTGTATGGATGAGCCTGTGGGCCTACTTTTTCCTGTTTCCGCCATTTGGCGCGACGGTTTTGGAACCAAACCTGGAACAAAAGAAGTGAATTTTAATTGACTGGGGTGGTTTTAGTTTCAGAGGGAACTGCAGCAAACACTGTTTCTATTTTTTCGTTGGAGCTTGGAATGTGGATCTAACTATGACCCTACATAACATATCCCGCTGACAATACTGAAAGTTTCATAAAAATCAATTATTCGAGATGTTCATATTTGGATGAAAAACCTGATTTGTTCACGACGACCATCCAAATTAGTTTGAACAAGAAACCGGCGCTTGAAAATATTTGCGTGCGAACAGGCAGACATTTTTCACAAAACAGTCATCAAATTCATGTGTACTTTGTTTAACATGTACACACGAAGAAAGATACTTTTACCAGAATTAAGAAAAAGAACCTTTTTAAGCAAAAAAATATATTCTTCCAAAAATTCGGGTCGTCGGTCTTGAATGCGCTGGAAATTTTTTGACTGAGAATATTTTGCTTGGAAAATGGAAAATTATACATTTTCTTGTTCAGATAAATCGTTGTCCGTTTACCCCAATAAATAAAGAAAAATAAGTTGGAAAAAAACATGGCTAACGAATGCTTTTACGTGGCATCTTCAGACGATTTAGCGAGTTCTTGGAGCGTAACCCAAGCTACCCAATGGATAATCGTATTCCTTGGAAAATTCTAAAGAGCGCCATTAAGGTCAGAATATTTTCTTTATATGAAAACTTGCAGAGTAAAATTATTTTTCCTTTATGCTGAGTTAATGTAGAACTTTTCCTGTCTGTGGCAAATTGGGTAAATCGAGCAGCAGCGGGATTTTTGAAGAAAATATACATTACAATTTGCTACTATTATAATACATATACATATTTAGAGCACTTATGCAATTGCAATATTTAAATTTTTAATTTTTCATCTATTTTTATATCATTTTCCCGTAATTTATATGAAACGTAGAAAATTTTGTATATATGTTCATAGTACAGTTTATATACAAACCGGATTTTAAAAAATTAAATGAATTACTTCAGTGTTTAAGTAGATACACTTTATGTATTGGTAAAAAAAGACGGTAATTTCCTTGGCATTCCTTAGGCACAATTAATTCATACACTTATATATTGCAGAAATAATTTCCACAACATGGTCGGATGTCGTTTACTACACGCAATGCGCTTCCAAGAAAAACTTCTTGCGCCTAATATTGATTACCGCAAGCGGTCTCCAATATTTTTCTGAAATATGTTGCACCGAAGTTTCCCGGTAAATAATTTAGACCGACAAAGGATTTTTAACATTCCAGCCTCATAATTAAAATAGATTAAGTAATTATGATCGTAATAATTGGCGTTGTGATTCCGATAATTGCATTAACAAGATATCTTGCCGATGTTGAGGCCGCTGTTAATATGGTGTCATTAAAACGTCCATTTCAGGTTACCAAGAAAAGGAAACTTACTATGTTTTTGTCATCTCGACGCACCATTTTTAACTTGATGATTTCATTAGTTCTATAACATGTGTAGGAATTGACTAAAGTGGTTGCCAGCCATAGACAATTTGCAATTTTACCCAGTCGTCCGTATCGAAAGTTCTACGTTTGGTTCGATAAAATCAATTAACTAAACTACTACTAACAAAAAAATTGATTTAATTTAAATTTATTGCTTCACATTTTTTGCTTTCATTTACTGCATATTCTACAGAAATGGTTTCCGGTCCATCACTGTTACCGGAAAATTATATTGAAATATACACCGTGAACAAAGCTAGCGATTTTGAAATAAGGCTGATGCTTACTTTTGACTATGATTTTTTACAATTTGCAGAATGTTTATAAGAGAATGTGATGAAATGAAATCTGATGAAAATGATTGTAAATACAAACCAGCTGCTGGTTTGTTATCGAACTACGTAAAGGATATATGTGAATGAGGCATGCAAAAATGTTTTAATCTGCAAAGGATTTCCAGTGAGAAACTATCTAAAAAGGTCGATTAATGACTGTCAGAAGATCATTAATTTACATTTGATTTTTTTGTTATCAACTACGTGTGAATATGCAAAAATTCGTAGGCTAATAATATATGCCGGGTGGTTGTTTCGTGTCCAATATTTCATAGGGCAATTCGTCAGGTATTTTTAAGATAAAAAGTACATGTAGGCTTGGGTCCGCAAGGTCTAACTAACTTATACTCTGAGGTTAACAAGCAACTTAAAATTTTGACTGTTTGTAGACGAAACTTGAGTCTGCAAGTACGGACAATTTCAATAAAACTGCCCTAAATTGACGGGAATCAGTGCCTTAAAATGAATGTTTTCATAAATCACTAATCATGCTGCTTAACAATAAATGATTAAGCTAACAAATGAGAAGAGAAGAAAACTCGGAAAAATAGAACGGCAGAATAAAGATATGAAAATTAAATGTGTAATAAAGAGATTTGATTCAACGGATTCGAAAGTAATCCAAACTAACGCAAGCTAAATATATCAAAGTGAAGAAACAAAGGAGAAAACAAATAACAGTTTATTTATATATATAAATTACATTTTTTAAGCAACTACAAGGGAGGCAGGTTTACACTTTGTGAAAGAGAATGCGTAATTCGAATTTTTATCAGCAGAGTTTCTGTTGAAAATGTTAAATGTGCATAACATTGTGGAAGCAGAGTCTGGTATGATGGATTTTCGACAAGAAATTAAATCTTAGGCTTTAGGTTTATTGGATGTAAGAAGACTTTAATGAGTAAAACAGAATTTTGAAATATTCTTTTATTAAAACGAATATAGGTCCATTTCTGTTTCATTGGCGTTAGGCCCAGCGCGCCTATGAAATGCAGTAAACGCGTAATTTATTGTCAGCTTAGTGAGAACACATTTGATTTCATTTCACTGATTTGTGAATCAGTGTGTCGTTGTGATTATTTTGCTCCCTTTGTTTCAAACTGCAGACTATATAAGGCAAAAAAAATTAGAATAATTCTGAGCAACATTTATTTGTATGTAATCTTTACATCCATGCATTGCAGCACGCAATCATAAATAATCCACGAACTTAACTATCAGATTCGTAGCAGTAATAACCTCTTTATTACATTGAGTGGTGTCAGACGAATAAATTTAATAAGGAGAAATAATAGCAAGATAGGGATTGGAAAGCTAATTACAGGTAGTACCACTACTGGTTAACGCCAGGAGCGTGAGTGGGCACATTTCTTTCAGATGTATTATATCCCATCTTAATCGAATACAGTCAACGATACCACTGATGGCATCGATAACAATTAATTGGCTGCCGATTACCCAGCGTTATTGAGATTGGAGTGATTGCCGGTTTCCAAGCCATTATACTTTTATCTCATGAGCATTAACAGTCTTATTTAGTCAATGATATTGCTGTTTTTGTGGATCAGCACTTTATTCTGGAACCCGGCGGGGGTTCCTTTATTTTGATCGGACAATATACCCAACTGCGGCTTAATCGACTGCTAAAAGGCCAGATTATCTTATTAGTCGATGATTATCTCTCAATCCGACCAAACATATTTCGGATTGTGTTTCATGCTTTTTTCTACTCATATTTACAACTGCTTTAATTGGACAGTATAAACAAACGAAACTGACTAGGGGAGACTGAGAATGAATGAAGCTGCAAGGTCTTGAAGTGTCCAAACTTTTAGACAAGAAACAATGTCTTTCTTAGAACTTCAATTCCTCACAATGTTTGCCACTTTTATCAGATCGTATATAAACTTCTTTAATTTGTGTCTGCACTTGCTTTGCAAGTCGTTACAATTGATGGATAAAAACAGTTAAAAAAATTAGTGCTATTTGAGAAAGTTTTACCAAATAAGAAATATGGTTTAATAATAATTATTTTGCCTTCAGTTTCTCCTTATTTAGATTCGTTCAGGTCAGAGATAGAAAATAGAAGCTGAAATCTCGAACTTCCAAGTAAAGGATGAATCATCGGAAGGGCTTATTATTTAATCATGTTTATTCTGTTGATCGGTGCAGAAAATGGATGATGGGGCGCCAGCTTGCAAAAAGCTGGTACGAATGAGCTCTAATCTTTAGTTCTTTTAGCTTGACTGAGTTCAGTTTTCCGAAAAGCAACTGAAGTTTAATGGATTTTGTTTCTATTTCTCTCTTTTTGCCCATTTTGAGCGCACTCTTTTTTACTGGACACACAACTCTGAATTTGTAGAGATTTTTTTGTTTCGGCGGAAATAAAAATCTATGAGATTCAGATCAGGCGTACAGGAAGGCGTGGGCTCTCACCATGAATAAAAACAGGCTCTTTACTAAATTAAATTAGCAAACTCTTTTTTTTGGGTATGTTGATACTGTAATTATTTTGTTGTTTTTTTTTTTAATTTAACAAAGTGAATTTGTGAACAATTTTGGGCAAAGCAGATATATTGCACTTAAGGAGAAACATATTTCTACCAAAGTCATAATAACAGTTAACTAAAATAGCATCCAGCAACAATAAGCAAGTAGAAATAAACGATAACGAAATTAAAAAATTGTTGATAATGCTTTAGATCTGAGACTATATGGGTTATTTCTTAGGATCCTTAGTACTTCAAAAATTTTTCACATAAAAAATTTATTTTAATTTTCGGTTTTTATAAGTAATTTTTGAAATAATGTCGATATTTGTATGAAACTTAGTATTTTCTGGCTTCATAATATAATACATTTAAATTTAATCTTTGTGTTGCAATTTCTTGCTCTATTTTCAAAGGTCACGTTTTTGTGCATGCTTGTACAACAATTGTTAGCAAGGAAATCAATTCCACTATTTTTACTTAAAATATTGGAAATGCAAAAGCTTCTATAAACGCTCACTCTTTCTCTCATAAGAGTTAAAAACTCATATAGTAAAACATTTAGGTAAAAATTTATTGTTCTAATTACGAAAAGCCACCAGATGTAAATTGACTAAGTTACAATTCATCTTGTAGCATGTTTGCTACAAAACTCTATGCATATTTCACTCGATCCAACGTTAATTTCGAAACGGT